GGCGGGCGCGGTGGAAGCCGGCGGGCGCGAGTCGGGGCTGGGGGTGGCCTGGCGGGCGGAGAGCGGTGCCGCTTCAAGCCCCCAGCGCCGAGCCGAGCGCAACTTTCGCTCTCATCGCCGCCCGCACTTCACTGGCACTAACTACTCCGGGAGCCGCGAGCGGGCGGGGGGGGCGGGGCCTGGGGCGAGAAGGGGGGAAAGCCGCGCGCAGCCCAACCCGAAGCGGGCTGGCTCCGCCCCCCGCGGGATCCCATTGGCTTCTGTGGGATTCGGACAGCGAGCGGCCGCGCGGTTGGCTCGGCACTCCCGTCTGTCCAAGGGACGGGGGCGGGAGCGCGGGGAGGGGGAGGCTCCGGGCTTCCGTTGGTCAGGTTCGGTTGACGCGTATCGCCCGCTGTACGTGGTTTGAGGTTTGCAATCTCTCTACGCCCCATGATCCATCTCTCTAGGCAATAGCGAGGAGTTAGCTGCCCTCCCCGCCCCCTCCCCCTGCTGCGGCCCCCCCACCCACTCACCTGCGCTCACCCCCTGCAGCCTCTGCCCCTACATTCCGCGAAGGGCCCCACTGTGAGTCCCGTTGGCTTCAAAAACTAAAATATGCGCGACACGAGAAGAGAAATTGAATACAAGGTCGGGACTACTTTCCCCCTCGCGCGGAGGATTACAGCCACAGTTTGAATGGGTTCTATACAAAGAGGGGAAACTAATTGGAAGAAACTAATTGCGCCCCCACCTTTCCCAAGGGATATGGGGGTGCCTCGGTGCCGGTGGTCCCCGGTGCAGGGGACAGGGTTCCCAGGTGACAGTCTCCCCTGGAGAGAAAGGAAGCAGTGTGACGGCTCGGAGGGTCTGGGGAGGTTTCTGCTAATCGGGTGGGGGGAGGCTGGAAGTCGCCGCAATTGCCGGAGTTGCGGGCGCGGCGTCCGCGGGGGCCGGAGGGAGGGTCCCGAGCGGCCCCTGCCCAAACGCGGAGTCCGGGCGCCGGGTCCCCTGCCATCCCTGATGACCGTTTAGTCCTCAGTGAGGGGGCCGAATTGCCCCTGCAGGAGGGGGCACTTGCAGAAATGGGGAGGAGGACTTATAGAAATGGGCTGGGGCCAGGAAGGGTAAAGAGGAAGAAGCTATTTTCATCCCAAGCCCTTGGTAGGGGAGGAGGGTCAACTTCCTCCCAGGCAACAGCCACTTTTCCGGATCTGCTGCCTGCCCTGCCTCCCCCAGTCCCCACCGGGCACCCGGCGAGGGAGAGCACGACCCAGCCCGAGACATCCCCGCCTGGAGGGTGGTCACCAGCCAGCCTGGGGGCTGCTTTACCGCTGGCTGGGGAGTGGGGGGAATGTGGGACTCCCCTGGAGGTCCGCGTCAGTCCCACCTCCACAGGCCCCCCCAAAACAGCGCGCTGATCCTGCATAATTAGGAGGCAAGAGAAAATCTATACATGATTTTTTTTTTTTTTAATTCAGCGGATAGCTATTTTTCTTTTAAGTAACTTCAAACCTGAGCTTTATAGGGGGACAGTTTACACCAGCTCTAGCTATAAATAGCTACAGGGAGAAATCTGGAGTTTTATGTTTTTAAAACCTGAATAAATAAGCAGAGTGTTCTCGTCCACATTTTATGCAGCATGAACCATCATTATTAACTTCAGTGGAAGTAACCATATTCACTTCTGCCTAAATGGCCTTTAAGAAACAGGGCTGGCAGCCCTCCCAGTGGAGGACCCCTGCCCCCACCAAGTTCAGGGTCGCATCTTCTGGCCTCCCCTTAAAAGGATGCTCCCCTTGGTGGAGAGCCCCAGGCGTTGCAGATGTGTGCCCTTGGGAACCCCCCCTCCACCACCACCACCACCCCCCACCAGCTGGCCTGGGTAGGGTGCCCACAGCAAAGCCCAGGGTTAGGAACCAGAGGTGGTATTCTGGGGCCCGGCCACCTGCTCACTTGGAGTCTATGAAATTCTACCACCAGACCCTGGAATGATTAGCCTACAACAGCGCAAAGGTGATATTAAGTCATTTATTAGGGCAGCAGGGATGGCGTGACAGCAGGTCATGAGCACCACCCACCAAGCCCCAAGGTTGGGGCTACTTCCTGACTGGGTTATGACTGTGGTTACATCATTGGGCTATCCAACCATTCACTTTTTTCAACAAATATTAACACCTAAGTTACTTCGACATGTGTCGAGGCCTCTTTCTAGTTTGACCCTGAAGCCACATGGAAGCCACATGGATACCTTACCGGCCTTGACCCTCCCAACTTCCTCATCTGTAAAGCACAGACAACAGCAACCACTTCCTGGCCTGGTGAATTTTCTGGGGAGTCCATCTCCCCAGCCCCAATCTTCGTCTGCCACAGGGAACCCTCCAGCCTTAGGAAAACCCCCTTCCTGCACCTCCTATTGCTTGGAGTGGCGGAGGGCCGCGGGGGTGTCCACACACAACCCTTCTGATTGGGAATCTGTGACCTCAGACTTCAAACAGGCAGAGTCAGCAGCCCTGCCGTGTTTTCCAGTGACACTCTCTCCCACTCTGAGACTAAGATAGCCCACCTTCTCTCCTTTCCTCACACCTCCCACAGTCCCTTCTGCCCTCACTTCCAGCCAACGACCTTGGGTGACCTTCTCATTCTTGGGTGAGAAAAGCTGAAGCCATCAAAGGGGATCCCTCTGAATTTCCAGGCCCCAAATGGACATATGCCCCGGCCAGGCACCCACTCCCCTGCCCTTCGGGCTCTCCCACTCTGATCTGGATCTCAGGCACCTGCTTCCCACTGCCCTCCCCTGGCTGGTCTCCTGTGCCATCAACCTCTCTCTTTCCCCTGGGTCAGCATTTTCCAAAGAAAGGGGAAATCTCTCCCTTGCTTCCAAGCCTCCTCTGCCTCCTTCCCCTCTCCCTACTCCCCACAGAAACCTGGAAAAACGTGTCCACCCCCTTCCTCCCTTCCTAGTCTTTCCTCATGCCACCTTAGCCGGGCTGTCCCCACTCTTTATTCTTGCTAAGGTCATCCACAACCTCCAGGCGTCCCAATCCAGTGGTCAGTTAATGGTTTCACTGAGCTCCTCAGCAGCACCTGAGTCCATCACTCCACCTTCTGGAAACTCCCTGAGGTGTCTAGACCTCAGGATGCCTGGTTCTCCTGCCTCACAGACCACTCCCTCCCAGTCCCCTTTGCAGCCTCCATCCCCCTCCTTTCAACCTGGTGCATAGTAGGTGCTTACTAAATAATTACTTTATTTTTTATTTTTTAAATTTTATTTATTTGACAGAGAGAGACAGTGAGAGCAGGAACACAAGCAGGGGCAGTGGGAGAGGGAGAAGCAGGCTTCCCGCCGAGCAGGGAGCCTGATGTGGGGCTCGATCCCAGGACCCTGGGATCATGATCCAAGCCGAAGGCAGATGCCTAAGGACTAAGCCACCCAGGAGCCCCTCACTAAATAATTGAGTGAGTGTGAGAAGTGAGCGTTAGGGGATACAGGCTGCTGTTGGTGCACAGAACAGGAGCCAGTTCCAGTGAGGGGAGGATTCCTGAAATGAGTGAGTTTCAAGACTTGGTACATGCCCTACAAGAGGGGAAGACCTTTGAATTTCGTCAGCCCAGCATCTCCGCAGAGTGAGCCCCTCCCCACCATCCTCCTTCAGGAGTTTGGCTTGGGGCCTGACAAGCATGTGACCCAAGCCTGGCTAATCAGAGCCCCCCAGCCCCCGGCTGCCGTGACTGGCTCAAGCACTGGCACATGACCTAGCCAGGCCAATCGAGGTCCTTTCTGGAACTTTTTGGGGAAACTCTTAGGAAAGAGTCTCTCTCTCTCTCTGAGGACCAGGAAAGCCTGGAGCCTCCAGGACAGGGCCAGGTACCTGGGTCCTGTGCCCAGGCTCCGTGTGGTCGGTCTGTAGCCCAGGCACCTGAGAGAGGGGTCCTCGCTTGTCCTGGCCCTGCTCAAGGGAGCACCCCCTACCCGACCAGCCTGTGGAAAGAGGAGGGCTGAGGCCTGATGGGATGTTTGGAACTCTCCTCCTCCCCACACCCTATAAACGGCCTGAAATCCTGGCCTTTTAAATGGAGCAATTTGAGTTTCTGTTAGAACGCAAAGACTCCTGGGGCGCCTGGGTGGCTCAGTTGGTTAAGCAGTTAAGCGTCTGCCTTTGGCTCAGGTCATGATCCTGGGGTCCTAGGATCCAGCCCCAAAGCGGGCTCCCTGCTCAGTGAGGAGTCTGCTTGTCCCTCTCCTTCTGCTCCTACCCACTGCTCTGCTCCTACCCACTTTATTTATTCTCTTAAATAAATAAATAAAATCTTTAAAAAAAATGAACTCAAAGACTCCTGACCGCTACAAATAATTAGGCATTAACCTGGTACAGAGCAAGGGAAAGAATGTGTAGGCAGAGGAAATAGCACCCACCCCTCTCCTGTGAAAGGCTTAATGAAAATAGCTGGGGCGCCTGGGTGGCTCAGTCGGTGAAGCGTCTGCCTTTGGCTCAGGTCATGATCTCAGGGTCCTGGGATCAAGTCCCGCATTGGGCTCCCGGCTCAGCCGGGGAGTCTGCTTTTCCCTCCCGCCACCCCTGCTCCTCTGCACTGCTCATGCTCTGTGTGTGTGTGTGTCAAATAAGTAAATAAAATCTTAAAAAAAAAAAAGAAGGAAAATTAAAAAGCTGGTATCTTTGGGGTGTGCCTGTGTGCCCCGTTCTGCTCTCAGCCTTGAAATCCTGCACTGATGGAATCAGCCCAATAATCCCATGAGGTGAACACAGTTTTGACGGCTCACCCATGCCTTGCAGGTAAGCAAACGGAGGCACCTAGGGAATGAAGTAATCTGGCCAGTGGAGGGGCCTGCGTGTCTCAGCCACACAGCTCTGCAGTCTCACTTTGTTAGCAAATTCTGCTGGGCAAGGAATAGCTTCCCCAAGTCT